AAAAAGCACCAGAATGCCAAAAAAACAAAATTCTTGAAACTTACCTCATAGTAACTCCGAACGGCATTGCAAAATGCTTCATCGGCTACAATTTGGGTTTCCCCATTGAGGAAGGCCTGGAAACGTTCTTTCAGTAACTGCAATTGTTGTTTGTTAAGCTACAAGAAAAAGAGAAAATAAGCTGATAAATTAGGCAATGAATGAATTATAATGATTACTAAAAGTTACATTTGCTGTAAGTGTATTAGATTTGACATCTAGAATTAACATTATGATAAAGAAAAATAAAAGGCAAAATATCCTAGTACTTGTACTAAGGGCTAGATTTTAAAACATTTCCAAGTCACTTCCCCATGTTCTTCATTATCCTGATATGGAAATGGAATCCAAATTTCTACCCCAGACAGAATTCCTGTAATCACCACCACCCCAGTCTCTCTGCAGAGACAGGGAAAATCTAAAATTTGGATGGTAAATTAACTATTGTTCAAAATTTCTAGCTGTTCTAAACAGGGAAAGCAGGGAAGACAAGGACTTAGAGATGAGGGGATAATGCCATGAACAAGAGGTAACAGGAAGAAAGACTGTAAAGGACTGAAGGGTCGCTGAGAAAGAATCCTCTGGAAAGAACAACTGTTGGATGCCAAAAGCCTGGATTCCATGAACGAACATGCATCAATGCCTGAGTTCACATAAATGAAGGAATGACAGGGAGAAGACCAATCCAAAAGAGAACAGACTCTGCAACAGGCGGGCAGGGAGTGCATCTTCAAGCACCCTGGGGGAAGAGCTGTGACCCAGGGAGGGGAATGGGAGTTTACGGCCACATTTCCCCACCTGGGTTTAGCCACCATAGTTATTACTGAGGGAGGGGTAGACGTGGAATGTGACTTACCAACCGTGTCCTCTACTCATCAACTACAATCAGGATCAGGTATTTAATTTTTAGGGCCAAATGCAAAATGAGGAGTCTCTTAATTAAAAAATTAAGAATTTCAAGACAGCAGGAACAGAGCATTAAACCAAGTACAGAGCCCTTCTCAGCCCTGAGCCCTGTGTAACTGCACAGGCTCGTGCCCGTGAAGCTGACCCTGGCTACAGAGCCACATACTTCACCAGAGGTAGAGCATGTCAGGTCACGGAGAAGCACTTTATTTATTTATTTATTTATTGATGCTTAACTGGAGGGAGAACAACATAGTCTTGGAAACAAAGCAACAAATCTCAAAATACATCAGGAACAGCAAAGGAGTAATCCTTCCATTTCATTCAATTCTGATCAGACTTTATTGGAGAACTCAGCCCAGTTATGGAATACACAGAGAGATATGAAGCATTTGGAAACATGCTGAGGATGAAATGATTAAAAGATTAGAAAGACTAAACACACTGGGATGACTTGGCTTTGAAAAGAAGGCTGATGTGACATAAGTTTGAATCTGTTCGAAAAGCTTATTAAAATGCCATTCAAATATAAGGAAGGCAAGCCCTTTTAAAAAGTGGGTTTTATTTAGGAGTCTAACAAACAAGACAGTTTGTAAGGAAAGTGCTGCTGTGAGTAACAGACTGATAAAGGTCGGTCCTATTGTACCCAGGTGGAAAAAAACCTCTTGCCCTCAGCAGTGAAGAGAGAAGACCATTCCATTTCTTTACTAATGTTATCACCCTCATTTTAGGAGAAGCTAAACCAAGTTGAAATGCAGGAACATCACCATTATATTATAATCTCCATTTCTATAAAATGAAGAAAATGGAAGCAGGGACCTTTTGTATGTTTGTGTACCAGCAAGGCAAATTAAGTTCATGCCTTTAGCTCTCCAAGCATGATTCACAAAAGAGACCAGATGGAAACGGGACAGCAATTGCTGGGAGTGAGGCAGCTGAGAGCACTACAGTTGCTAAGCCCTAGGAGTCACCAACAAGGGCTTCATCTTGCAAACCAAGTAAAACAATGGAAATGGAAATACAG